TCCTAGCCCCCTACTCCGCCTCAAAACCCCACGACAATAGCACTTCACTCAGTTCACTGCTTTTGCAAATCAGCCACCAAAAAAATAGAAAACAATTAATCGCTTATCAGAAACGGAAACAAATGCTTTTCCAAATCTCCATGAAGGAAAGAAAAAGTGAGAAGGCCATGACAAGGAAGATAAGAGATGGAGGACGGCGATGAGTACTTGAGGAGAGATGGAGGAGAGGTGGAAGAGGACGAGGAGGACATCACAAGGAGGAGGAGACACGATTGCAGTTCGGAGTTTCCATGAAGAAAAATAAAACCAAAGTGACAAGGCCGTAACAAGGAGGAGATGAGACGGAGGAGGGATGGATGAGGAAGAGGAGGAGGTGGAGGAGAGAGATGGAGGAGGAGGAAGAAGACAACATTACAAGGGGGAGGAGCCGGTTCAAATTTTCCATGGAAAAAAAAGTGATGAGACCGTGACAAGGATGGTGAGAGGTGGAGGAGGAGAGATGGAGGAGAAAGGTGGACGAGGAGAGATGGAGGCAGAGGAGGACGTCACACGAAGAAGATACCATTCGAGGACAACGACGTAACAAGGAGGAGGAGATACCAGCGGAGTTCAATCTTCAAAGTTTCATTAAAAAAGAAACAGAGTGACGAGGCCATGACAGGGAGGAGATGAGATGAAGGTGGAGAGATGGGGGAGGAGAGATGGACGAGGAGGAGGAGATGGAGGAGGAGAGATGAGGATGAGGAGGAAGGCGATGATGACATGACAGGGAGGAGATACCATCGAAGTTCAGTAAGTTTCCATGAAAAAGATAAAAACAAAGTGACGAGACCATGACAAGGAGGAGGAGAGATGGAGGAGGATGAGGAGGAGGAGGTGAGGAGGAGGACGCTCAGAGTTGAGGAGGAGGAGGTGAGGAGGACGCGGACGTGACGAGGACGCGGACGTGACGAGGAGGAGATGTCACGGTTTGGATGTCGAAGTCTCCATGATAAAAAAACAAGACAGCGTGGAGGAGGAGAGATCGAGAGGAGGAGGGAAGATGGACGAGGAGTGATGGGGAAGGGGGATGAGGAGAGAGGGAGGAGGAGGAGGAGGACGTAACAAGGTCACAGCTCAAACTCCATACATAGAAAAGGTGACGAGACCTTCGACGACGAGGAGGGATCGAGGAGGAGGACGAGGAGGAGGAGAGGTGCAGGAGGAGGCGAGATGATGAGACATGGAGGAGGACGTGACAAGGAGGAGGAAGTGACAAGGAGGAGTAGGAGGAGAAACAAAGGACGAGGAGCAGGTTAAGAGGAGTAGAGATGAAGAATGCTGGGACTGGTGGAGAGAGACCGTCACAGTTCCAAGTTTCCATATTATACAAAAAAAACGATGTCGAGGAGATGATGAATAAGGTGACGAGGAGGTGAAGGAGGACATGAAAAGGACTGGTGGAGGTGACGAGGAGGAGAGGAGGAGGTGACGAGGAGGAGAGGAGGAGGTGCGAGGAGGGGGAGCAGGTGACGAGGAGATTCACTCACAATTCGAAGTTTCCATGAGGAGGAGGAGGAGGACTGGTGGAGGTGAGGAGGAGATATGGAGCAGGAGGTGACGAGGAGCAGGAGGTCACGAGGACATACCACCGAAGTTCCTAGTTCCCGTACAAAAAAAGAATGATACCATGATGAGGAGGAGAAGAGATGGAGGATGAGCAGAAGGAGAGGAGGATGACGAGAGGAGGGGGAGGGGGAGAACGTGAGTTCAAGGGAGAGCAGGATGGCTGCCAACCTGGCTTGGAAGAGGACGATTGAAGTCGGCGCTGGTCGCAGCTCCGAAGCTCGTCGATGGTGTCTGGAGGAGGGGGAGGTTGGCGCTGCTCACGAAGAAGATGAAGGCAACAGAGCAGGGCAGCACTGCTTCCTCGACACGAGGACTACAGGCGGGCCTGCAACAACAAGAAAATCAAAGAAACGGCCCCTGCCGAAGCCCTTCCTTTTTTTCCCACCCTATTGCACCACAAAAACAAATTCGAGTTCGCCAGGGCTGCGCTTCAGCGCGGCCCGGTAATTTTTTTTTAGGCCGTGAACCGATTTATGGTGGGGGGGGGCGGGGGTCTTGTGCGCCACACAGGTTGTGCGCCGCGCGGTTGGGGTGCACGCGTGCGCCAACAGTCCACGATTTGGTGCATGACGTGTGCTTGCATGTATGGTTGATACAGATGGTTTGGCAATGATGGCACGATTGAATCATCAAGTATTGTTGTTCCATGAACAACCGTGGTATTTTAGAGAGGCCTATTAAAGACTAGATCTGACAAATTCGAGGGTGGACATGACTAAGTGGCTTATTAGGAATGACACATGAATCCTTTATTAGGAATGACACATGAATCCTCCCCTGGTTAGAAGTGGCAAGCTAGGTGTGTGAGGCCTGCCAAGGGCTATTCCTGGGGCTGTATTGTGATGCCCAACCTCACGCCCAACGCGACTTCCTGATCGGAGTGGGATGGGGGCCTGGAAGTGCGAAAAGGGGGGTGTGCCAAGGATTTTAGGAAAGTGGGGGTGGAGTCCCAGGTCAGAGATCTCCTGTGGCAAGTTTCGGGGGTATAAGCGCAAGAGGGTAGGCGCAGGCCGTATTTGCCGCTTTTAATTTTCATAGGACGGAAGGTAGGCCACCTCTCGTGGTTTGTGCGTAGAAGGAAAGTCGCGGATGTCGTGCAGCATAAGGCAGATGGCATTCGCAGTGCATCCCAGACTAAAGATTTTGGGGTACTTTCCGCAATCACAACACCGAAAGATCTAAACACTCTTGCATTCTCGAACAAATCCCAACAACATTGCCCCTGCCGATGAACTCAATTTTCGTAAACCTTCAAACCTGGAAAATGGGAATCACCATCTCCTCTGGTTTTGCCTTCGTGGTTGGTCGCGGGGTTCGACCAGTTGTCGGCGCCGCTCGGCTTCGGTTCGGGCTCGCCGAGCGAATTCCGAGGCTCGATAGGTCTGGTGCCGCAAACACTTTTCGCACGGTTTGCGGGGCCAGTAGCGGGCTATGGAATTCCACGGCACCACCGTGAGCTGGTGATATGGAAGGAGGAGGTGAAAGGGAGGGAAACTGGTGGAAATAACGACGAAGCCGGGGGATATGAAATATTGCGTGTTATAAGTATCCGAGTTATTGGGGCCCCTGGGGTTGTTAGTGATGGCACAGTGACAGTCCCTTGCGCATAATCGGTCGTTTTCAGTTAGACAGGGGAATTTCGGGTTTCTTAAGTTCCCCCGCCACCTAAGTTGTTCCCCCTCCCAGTATTCACGATATTCTGGGTCCCTCAGACTCTCACGATTGGACATCCAAGAGGGAAATTCCGCAGCCATATTCGTTTAGGAAGCTCGGTCCCCTGCATCCTCATACGGGGCTCAAGGCTGACTCACGCAGACGAGCGCGTACGTGGCAACTCGATGTTCTCGAGATCGCGGTCGTATGCGAGTGTGCACGTGAGAAACGGTGGATTGGTTCAGTTTACCGATCGTGTTCGACATACATGTAAATATCCTACTCATGCTACGTTAGGTGAGGTCCTGTCATTACATGCCATACATGTGGTGAAAAGGAGGAAAGAAGGGAAAAGATCATCAACTTCCCACAACATTCTTGGTGATCGAAAAGTAGCGACTAAACCCAAACATCCATAATGAGCGTTGTCAATCAGATCTGAATGTGCAGCTTATGCTAATGGATAGCAGTCAAAGACGAAACATGCATTAAAACAAGATTTGGGAATCCGAAAAGATCACTAATAAAAGAGAATTCACATTCATTCCATGCATACACAAAATAAAGACGACAAGGAAAATCCGAGGCGATTTACAAAAGAAGTCCAAAAAAGGAAAGGCCGCGATAAAAATCGGCTATACCAGAATCCAAAATTATACAGACAAACAAAGGAAAGAACCTCATCCCACACCCACAACTGCTCTCTCTTTCTCTCTTCCTCTCTCTCTTCCTCTGATGCGGCAGTTAATCGCCTCGCATCCACACAGAGTTGTCACCGCGCTTAGTCCGAATGTGCAAGCCAGGTTCGCCCGTGCGCCACAGTCCGTCGCGGCCCGGCACGTCAACCCCGCATACCATTACCAGCTCGTCGGATCGCCCAACTCTCGACTCACTCACCTTCCAACTTGCTCGTTAGCCGACCCTCACTGATCGCGGTGACCTCGAAATTCTTAGAGAGCAAACTAGTCGCGCTTGCAAAATTTATAGCATGCATGCTTGCGCGAAAGGTTCGGGATTAAGCCCAGATGGACAAGAAGAGAAGAGAGGAAGTGCCTACGTCTGCATGGCCAGGCCGCGGCGTGGGGGTCGTAGCCACACTTCACGCATCGATCCGGTCATGCAGGCGTTCAGGCCAATTAGAACGGAGCATGCGAGGCGAGGAAGAAGGAGAAGGAGGGCAAACACAAGGGAACCAATAAAGAAGAAAGATACAGTTACAATCTCGCCCGCCAAAACGACAGTTACACAAGAATAAGGGCGCGATCCAGTCAGAGCCCAGTTCCCAGTGCAGCAAGATGCGCGCAGGCGAGGCGCAGTAAAATTCAGAGTACCCAAATTCCTATCCTAAGTCCTAATTGCAAAGGGAAATTCTGAAAAAGCAGAAAAGAAAAACAATCCGCGAGCCCGTGGGGGCTCGACATCAGTTGACAATTCAAAAATGATATTCCCGCGCGATGATCGCGCCAAAATTCCTCGTGCTCACAGCAGAACAAGAAAGAAGCTATGGCACAATTATTTCTCGCGCTTGCTAAGGCGCGCTACTCAACCGTTGGCACGGGATTTTCCCGACACTTATCCGACAACTTCCAACAGAAAAACGAAAAGAAACGAGGACATCCATGCAACTTGCCCGTCCGACCCATCTTTCCACAGTTCACCCGTCGTATTTCCCCAAGCAGCCTCGCGCAGAAAGTCGCGCGGTTACAGAAAATAGTTCGTCACAGTACTGCAAACGGTGGTTAGTTGTGTTTGGCTCGCCAGGGCTATTCCTGGTATTGTTTTGAACGAACAGATTATTGTACAGGTATGTGACGGGTGTTTCCTCATATCGACCCTCACGATGGCTTTCAAAGGCTTGTTGGGGGCTGCTCTTTGCTCACCTGGTTGGCTAAGTTGAAAGTCGAACGCCTGGCCCTCGGTGATCATCATAGTACAGTGGTGGAATTCTTGCCTCCCTTTGGATGCAAGAGACCTGGGTTGAATTCTCAACAGTGCGCTGGTGAATGAGGATAAACATTGTTGTAGTTTAGTGTTACGATCCCTACGCCAGGGAGGGCCAGGAAAAACGCCTGGAGGTACTCCTACGTATGGTGTAGTGAGCGCATCTCTGTACAGCGTATCAGACTCAAGTTAGATTCCTGGCAGCGGGCTGGCATATTTTGAGGAAATAAAGATTACGATGCTGATTGTCGTAGTTTAGTGTATGGATCCTTTTGTGCCGTGGGTGGTTGATGGTGGATTCCCGACGGCACATGGAGCAACCGGGGTGCCCCCTCGTGCACAAGACACTCAGAATGTTATCAAGATGCTTAAGAAGGCCCGGTCCTAGGGTGCTTTATGGCAGCATGGTGTAGTGCATGCATCCTTTTGGCCACATAGCACCTGGCTTAGACTCTTCACAGCGGACAATATAGTGACGTGATGTGAGTGCACCTCCGTCGTATTATAATGCGAGTATCCCTACACCCATGAGTGTGAGGTTAAACTCTTCATAGTACTTCTGCATAGTATAGCTGGTGTATGTTAGCCAGATTCTCAGCGGTGGATGATGGGTCACCATGTGATATCTGCAAGGTTAGCCAAAGGTTAAATCTGGTGCCTTGGATTGCCTTCAGAAGGTGTCAATTTAATTGTGTGTTGCTAGAGGCCATACTTGGTAGCATTTTAGGGGGGTGATTCTTTGTGTGAGCCCAGCCAAATGCTATATCTGGTCGGTCGTAGTGGGGCAGTTCTTATGTGGAGCTTGTCGAAGGCTTTACTTGTTTTCAATCTAAGCAGGGCTGTTATATGGTGAGCAGAAGTTCAAGATGCTTGGCCATATTGTTTGATGTTCTTGTTGATCCCCAAAATGAGTTATGTCTTGATTACGAGGACGTCATTCAATGTGGGTCAGGACTGCCAAAATGGCACCCACACAAGGGTGACCATTCGCAGTATTAGACGACAACACATGAGTGAGGCCGTTTTTGCAGGCATGGACAGACTGGGGATGGCTAGCCTGATTAAAGGCCTGATAGGTTGGCCAGATCTAGCCATCCAGCCAGAGATTGCACGACGGCTGCACAGTGGACCAGCTAGCCCTAAGCAACATGGAAGCCTTGCATCAATGGTGCATTGGGTTGGGTTGACAGCTCCAACCCCCTCGTCAAGGAGACGGGCATGGGGAAGGGTTCGATGAGAACAACACGTGGACTTGGTCGAACTGGCCCTAAGGGCCTAAAAAGCCCTTGGATGGTGGGGTTAGTTATAGCTGCATTGTTCTTGAGATCAGGTCGCTTAAAGGCGTTGACGGTGTTAGAGTGAAGGGCCCAAGGGGGATGGGAAACATCCATCTGATAGTATTGGATCAACCTGGCCCTGTTCGTTTCTGGATGAACCTGGCCGTTTTCACAACCGGGTACAAATTGTACTAGCGGGTGACTGTTGGAGTATAGAGGCAACAGGGCAGGGAGGAGATTAGAACAGGTGCTGGAGAAAACTGGAAGCAGGACGAATGACTGCTAGATCCTCAAATCGACCAGCGCCCTCCATATTTTTTTGGGGTGCTGCCAAGAAAGTTGTAAGGGGCCAGTAAGCCCTTCATGGGTACAGGGGAGGGTTAGGCCCTCATTCACTTTTCCCAGGGCTGGCTTTGCGTGGTCAGCCTTCACCACGAGTTTCTACATGGCCTCTAGGCTGTTGTGACTGCTTCACGGAGCACATCCACCACATGCTCGCGTGCGCGCGCGTGTGTGTGTGTGTGTGTGTGTGTGTGTGTGTG